TCCCTTCTCAGTGTTCTGTGTCCTGACTCCACTTCCAACCCAGAGTCTGCCCCGTGCATACCATGGGAGGCAGCACCTGATATAGCAGGACACCTGGACTTAGTTCTGGGCTCTGGGCTTTGTCCCTCTCCCAGCTGCGTGAACATTTAGAAAGTGAGCCTGGGGAAGTGGGAGCACTCTCCTTTTCATAAAAATGAAAACATATCCAAATAAATAAAAATAATGATTTGACCCTTCCTGCATCTTGTGGTGCTCTTTGCTCATGGGCCTGGGGTTCCCAGGGTGGGTAACAGCAGGGTTGACCGCGGGGCTCTCAGAAAATGCAGGTGCTATTTACCATTGCTCTGCTAGGTCCACATGTGAACACTGGGAGCTGAAACATCACAAACTGAGACTGTTGTGACTGCCCCTCCCCCCGACATCCCAACTAAACAGGAGGGTGCCCAGCAGTGAGTGTGGGGCCTCCTTGGAGATCATACAGCTGACTTGGACTTGACACTCCCTGCCCTATCCAGCACCTTGTTACAGTCCTGCCCAGCACAGCAGCCTGGGGACAGTCAGAGGGGGAGCTCTGGCTCAGAACTGGGTGCCTATATTTCCCACCTCGTGAGCCTAGAGCATCATAAGTAAAACTGCTGTTAGCTGGGTCACCTGCACTCAGGTTTCTGCCAGAGTGCCCCCTTATCATGTGCAGCCAGGGCCCAGGTGTGCTCACGTGACCATCCTTCAGGGGAGGCTAAGGCCTGGGTGGGCGTTGTCTCCCCTCCTATGGCCAGAATGTGACCTGGGGCGGTAGTGTCAGCACCCACCTGAGCCATATGCAGATGTTCTGCCCACTCTAGACTGTCCCAACCCTCCCTGTGCCCAAGGGCTCCCCTAGCACATCTGTGGTCCTTGGTTCCCACAGTGACCCTAGCGCTGCAACTGCTCAAGCTGTGGGCTCGGTTCCCCCACTTAGCCCTGCTGGTCCAGGGCTCAATCCTGCACCCTCTCACCATTGCCACTTACTTCCTGGGTGCCCTATCTCCATTCCAGACTGCAAAGGTGGTCCATGTGGAGCTACGTCTCCACTTGTCTCCAGCTCAGAGACTTACCCTCATCCCCCGACTCATGGTCAAAGCCAGCCCCACAGTGTCACTTCTCACTGACATCCTGGCTCCCCCTGCTCCTGCACTGAATGCCTGGGCAACCTCCTTGGGATCTACCCTCCCATGTCAACCCTCTCTCACCCATCCCCACTGCCACAGCCTGAAGCCCTGGGTGTCCTCCTTGCCCCCTCCTTCTCATTCCCTTGATGCCGTCCAGGGGAAGTGCTGTGCATCCATCTCCAGAAGGATCCAGAACCTCTTCTCTCCCACCCTGCCCATGCCCAAACCCATAACAGTGACTGGCATCCCTGCCTGGACACAGCAGGAGCCCCTAGAGCTTTGTCCCCCACCTTGTAGTCTCTCAGTCCCGTCCTGACACAGCAGCCAGGGTGGTCCCTGGACAGTAGATGGTGCACACATCCCTTCTCTGCTCAGAGCTGTCTCATGATCCCACCTCATTCAGAGTCAGGGCTGAGCATTACAGTTAAGTGGATGGCAGTGTCCTGACCAGCCTTCCTGATGGCTCCCTGCTCTGTGTGCAGCCTAGCTCCTGCCCAGGGCATTTGCACTGGCCGTCCCATTCCCACACAGCACCTGCCCAGACACCTTTGCTGGTGACTCATTTTGTCCTTCCAACCTTCCTCAGGATCACCCCCTTAGGGCAGTGTACGCTGACCATGGTGGTGAGACAGCCACTGCCCCAGCCCTCACAACCACTATGGACCAACTTGCCCAGCACTGGGTCTGGCCCACAGTAATGAGAGTTTAGTGATGAGTGTGTAGCACCTGCCCCTTCTAGAACTGGTGGCTTCATTAGTGTAGCTGAGACAGAGGCTACTTGTGTCTGCTGCAGAGTGCTGTTCTCTCCTGCTGGTGTCCAAGAGGCCTGTGCTTTCTCACAAGTGTCTACTGCCCTCCTGCCTCTCTCCCTCCCACACTGCCTCCTGCACACACAGAGGTGAAGGCCACCAGAGCTCACACAGAGGAAGAGCAGGTGCAATCAGCCAACAACACTAAGGAACAGAATGAATACAGGAAGACAGGAGCAAGTGCTGAATGTAAGCCTGAGTTTTGACTGTCCTGGCCTCGTGCAGCATCCACATACTTGGTTCCATGAGATAGGACAGCATGGCCACAGCTGGGTCCTGTGATGGCAGGTGTTGGTGGGCACATTCTACCAGAGAGACCAGGACACTGAGGCAGTTGAGCCAGGTTGGCAGTGACCACAACAAAGACTGTTGGGCTTGGGATACCGGGGCAAAAACCTGTCCTCACCCAGAGCCTCCCAGCCTCTCCTGTCTGACCTGCAGGTGATCAACACAGCAAACACATGGCTTGTAGCAGGTTCTTGGTACTTCTGTTTATTTTCTCTGTCCAATTTTTGAAATTTTTGAAATATCCTTTTAATTTTCTCATGAACCACTCATGACTGGAGTTGGATAAAATTGTTTGATGTTCAGATTTGCACAAGGAAGAATGAAGCTGCAGCAGGGGCACCTGCCTTGAGACAGAGATGGAGGTGCCCACGCTGCCCTGGGAGGGCCAGGCTCCCACCTCACACTGTGCCCACAGGAACACACTCAGATGTCTTTACAGGAAGGGAGGGCAGGGCTTTTTGAAGACACCAGGATGAGGACTTGAGCAAGATTCTATCCCTCTGTCCCAAACAAGGCAATTTTCTCACACTACAGAAACAAGGTGACAAATTCAGGTCACTACACATGGATCAGGAACAGCACAGCACACATGAAAATGTGCAAATGCAAGGAATTCCCCAGGACCTCTGTGTCTCCTCACCCTGCCCCCCTCCCTTCCAGGTTTCACCTTTCAAGCTGTGAGAGAGCAGTCAGAGCCCCGGGCACTGTATCAACCTGGGAGAACCAATCAGGACTTGGTGAGACCCCTGGTGATATGGCTGAGGGAGGAGCTACAGGGTGGGTGGGGCAGCTTCCCCATGCGTATCTGGCTATGGCAAGGGTCTTGGGGACTCCCACACCCCCAAACACACCCCAGTGCTTACCTGCAGCCCTAGTGTAATTCCCTCCTTCCCCACCTGGGAGAGAAAACAAGTAGTGAGAGTCAGGGAGAAAGCAGGGCCTGAGGACCTGCCTAGAGGGAGCCCAGAGGATACTAGCATGTGGCTACAGACCCAGGAAAGGATCAGAAGGCACCTCTCCTGGAGGTGTGTCCTCAGCTGGGACCTCCCCCTGGCCTGGGGCTGCTGGAGCTCAGGTTCTCATGAGCAGAGTCATCCCTGTGGAGTGTTCATGGTGCACCTTCATTTGGGCATCACACCAGAACCAGTGTGAGCACTTGGGGCCCAGCTGGGGATGTAGGTGTGTGTGCATGTTGCTTCCCAGGAACGGGGTAGGGGGACCTTCTCCTTAGGGAACAGCAGACTCAGACCCAGCCCTCACCCTGCCCTACCTGAGCGCTTCCTCTTTATCATCACAACAGTGACCACAGCTCCAATGAGCACAGCTGCCACGAGGACCAGGCCAGCGATGACTCCCCACATGGGCACAGTGGGCTGAGGAGGCTCTGAGAGGGGAAGAGAGGGTGAGGGGCTCTGACCCCAGGTCTCAGCCCCGCCCCTGCTGAAGACTCCATCCGTCCCTCCCTCCTTACCCCATCTCAGGGTGAGGGGCTCAGGCAGCCCCTCATGCTCTATGTGGCATGTGTATCTCTGTTCTTCTCCAGAAGGCACCAGCACAGCTGCCCACTTCTGGAAGTTTCCATCCCCTGCAGGCCTGGTCTCCACCAGCTCCATGTCCTGGGTCAGGTCCTCCCCATCTCGCTGCCAGGTCAGTGTGATGTCCTTGGGGTAGAAGCCCAGGGCCCAGCACCTCAGGGTGGCCTTCTGGTCATAGACTGGGTGCTGTGTTACATGTACTGTGGGTGGGTCTGAGGGAAAATTTGGACAATTCAGGCCTTTCATGTTTTTCACCAGACACCAAAGCTGCACTCAGTGACCCTCCTGAGAGTGGACAGGAGGACAGGGATGGGGGAGCAGTGCTAACTCAGACCTGGCCTGGATAAAGACAATGGGATCATCTGTTGTTGCAAAGATGTAGATAAAGAATCAGGTATGGTTCAGGCTGGGAGGACCCGGGTCTTTGACAGGATGGAAAGGATTTGGTGTTGTCCTGAGTGGAGGCTGAGAGACTGAGAAACCCTGGCGTGAATCTTCCCAGTGCATTGGCCTGAGGCTGAGGACAGGCCTGGGAGGGGTCACAGCTCACAGGACCAGTGGGAGTCCAGGGCACCAAGAGGATTCCTTTCAGAACCGTCTACGCCTGTACAACCCAGGTCCCTCTTCTATACTGAGGGAAGGGAGGACATCCATGCTGTGATCATGAGGAGAGGGGGACACAGTCTTGGGTTCCACTTTCCTCCCATCCTGCACACCCCCAGCCCTAAGCTTAGGAGGTGGATGAGGGCTACCCCTACCTGCCCTGCACACCTGTGCGCTGTAGTTTCTCCTTTCCCAACTCCAGGAATCTGCTCAGCCACTTCACACAGTGCCCCTCCATGTATGCTCTGTGCTGCTCAGCCGCAGCTGCTTCTTCCCACTTGCGCTTGGTGATCTGAGCTTCCTTGTCAGCAGCAGTCCAGGTGTGCAGGTCCTCATTCAGGACGATGTAGTCCTTGCCATCATAGGCAAACTTCCTGTACCCGCGGAGGAAGAGCCCATCTGCCCCGACCTCGCAGCCGAAGAGATGCTGGAGCGTGTGAGAGACTGTCCCCGCCCGCGGTCAGCCCTGGCCAGGCAGCTGCGCCCCCGCCCTCACCGACCCGCGAGGATTTCAGCGGAAACCGAAAACAAAACCCGCGGGCTCCTCCCGCCGAGGGTCTCCGCGGGGCGCGCAGTCTCGGGGTGGGGGACCTCGGCCCCAGGGACCCGGAGCGCCCAGGGCGCACGTGTGGAGGGCTCGGGTCACTCACCGGCCTCGCTCTGGTTGTAGTAGCTACGCAGGTCACTCATGTAGCCGCGGAAATCCTGTGTGTGCTTCTCAGCGAGCTGTGTGAGGCTGTCCACGTACTCCTGCTCCACCTGCTGCATCCACGGTAGTTCTACCCTCGGGTTCTCGGCGTCGCTGTCGAAGCGTCCGAACTGCGTGTCGTCCACGTAGCCCACGGCGAAGAAGCGGGGCTCCCCGAGGCCGGGCCGGGACACTCCGGTGATGAAATACATCAGGGAGTGGGAGCCTGGGGGAGAGAGGGGCTGAGACCAGGGCCGAGCCCTGCCCTGAGTCGTATGCCGAGTTCGCAGTTCCCTGGAGTGGCCAGGGAGGAATGATCCGTGGGGTTACGAGACGGATGGACAAGGGGAAGGGTCTGGGTGTTTGTGGGCAGGACGCCAGGCGCGATGTGAGGAAGTCTGCTCCGGGTCGGGGAGTCCGGCGTCCGCGGTTCCTGTGTCCCTTCCACGCGCTCCCCTCGCTCCTGCCCCGCAGAGCCCGTCTCCCTCCCGACCCGCACTCACCCGCCCGGGTCTCGGTCAGGGCCAGGGCCCCCGCCAGCAGCAGGAGGAGGGTCCAGGGCGCCATGGACTCCATCCTGGGAGTCTGGGGAGACACGGATCCCTGACGCGCCCGGTAGACTTTATACCCGGGAAGGCTCTGCGCTGACTTATCCTCCCGGAAGCCGGCTGCCCTAGGGGAGTGCGACCTAGGTTTGTGCCTCTAGTCCCGTCGGAGGTTATCAGCCACTTCTTATGTTTTTCGGAATTAGTGATGACCCCAAAGAGAAAAGGAACTTGGGCTAAATGTACCAATAACCTCAAATGAATGAAAACTTTAAATGAATACCGTTTTTAAGAGAAATAACTATTTCGAAAATAAACAGGATAGTGAGAATTCATTTTCACACTGTCTCTTTGCAGCTCCTTTTGTCTGTTTAGGTAGAAGATTACTGGATTTTCACTTTTGCTCTACATTTAACCTCTACCTCCCCGTTGTAGTATATGAAGAAAGAAACTCAGCATCAAACATGTAGGAAGAATACCTTAATAATGTATTCAAATAATTGTGACTATTCATCTTTGATCATACACTAAAGTGATCAAGTGCCAGCTTTTAAGGTTATTTGTAAGGGAGAAGCTGAAGCCCTACTGTGGGATATTTGATTTTCTGGTGTGTTAAAACTCACGGGTTCATCCTGCACACTGAATGGGTTTTACTAATGCATGACTTCAGAAAGTACTGTAACACACTGTGTGATCATATTACTTAGGTTTTCTCCTGTTGACACTTAATTTGAAAATTAGTTATGTTTTGTAATATCACAAATTCTAAGAGAAAAGGTTGCAAGTATTTGGAAACTGTAAAATTTATGATGGTGGATACAAGTTTTCAAAACTTCTGTTTTCCTTTTTTAGAGCTTACATGGTATATTTGAAAAAAAAAACAGAAAAAACAGTGAGTTACACTGTGGAGAGATACTCAGCATTGTGTACATTTCAAAGTGCCTTGTTTCTGCACTTGCTCAGACACAGTTAGATACTACTCTGGTATTTTCTCACTTCACTTTCTTTTTTCTTCTCTCCTTTGTTTCTTTGGAGACAGGGCAGGGGGAGGCATGCCAGCCAGCTGGGCTGGGGGTGGCAGTGAGCCCTACTCCATGGACTGGGGTCTGAGGTTGCTGCCTGGCTCTGCTGTGTGGCCTGGATCAGCTGTGAGCTGTGGCTGTGGGACGAAGCTGGGGTGTTGCTGCCCGTGTTCTCTCCATGATCAAGAGGCTGTTCACATGATCAAGAGGCCTCTTTAGCATTGTACCTGATCTCACAGATGGCCTTGGCATTGACAAGCAAACGGTGATTTCACATTCTGATGGTTCAAAGACGCATCAGGGCCTCAGATGTCAGGGACCAGAGCTGGTGGCTGCTTGTCCTGGTCGTGACTCACTTGTACCCTGTTAGGCTGCTCCCTTTTCTGACTTAACACAAACAAAAGGACCAAAAAAAAAAAAAGGGGGGGGGGCGGGGGCAGAACAAAGCTGGATCTGGGGAAAGGTTAGGCTGGGCAGGTCTACAACACCCATAGGTCTGCATGTGAACTGGGTTAGGAGGAGAGTCAGGCTGGGCTAAGCAACCACATTCGTTGGTACATGTATGAGGCAGAGTAAGTGCAGGCTGATTGGGCTTTAAGGCAGCATCAGCTGGCAAGTACTGGGACTGGGGGTAAGTCCTGTCAGGCTATACTGCAGAACTACCTGGAAAGTTCAAGATCCAAGGCTGAGAGTGGGCCTAGCAGGGAAACTGTGGGCACCGTTCTGATGGATTGTAGCTCCCACCAGTGAGCATGAGAATGAGGTCTGGGGGTGGGTCTGACTGGACAAGCAGTAGCACCTGACAGTGTTAGTATGGGCTGGTAGCAGGGTCGACCTGGCTGAAGAAGGCTGCAACACCCATGGCTGTGTATGAGAACTGAATGGGATGTGGGTGGGATGACTGGACCAGTCTGGTACACATACCAGCATGCACAGGAATCAGGGCAGGGGGTGGACATGGTCAGAGTTATAGGGGTCACTCTGATTAGGCTGCAGTTCCTGATGATATGTGTGAGGGCTGAGTGTGTGTTGAGCAAGTTTAGTTGGGGTCATAGCATCCATTGGCTCCTATATGAGATGGGGCTGCAGAAAGAATTGATTGGGTAACTGCAACCACCAGTGTATGTGTTCATGCTGATGTGGGTGACAGACTGAGCCAGATCCCCATACCTATGACTTTGGAATTTCTCAAGTAATATCCTACAGAAGCTGAAGAATCTGTTCTTTCCTAACTTTGGATTTGCAATTTCCAAGCATCACTTTGCTCTTTTTTGTTCAGTTTAGCAGCCATATGAACACCATCCATCTATAAGACAGCATTATTCTCAAAGGTATGATTCAAATTAGGAAGTGGTTGTACCAAAAAATGGGCAAAATAACTGATGGTTGATATTTAAGATAGAAATTTGTTCAATGTGAAAAACATGCATTTATTGTGAAATCAAAACTGTGAAGTGAATTTACTAGTCATTCAAAAAAAATCCCTAAGAATTACATATTCTGATGAGATGCAAGATGAGAAAATGACAGAAAAGAAGTCATTGGGTTGAACCGGCACATTTCATTTTCTCACCAAGTTGCGCATACAGTTATTTGCAAAAATGACCATCACAGCAAAGGAACAACACAACAACACAAAATAAAACCCCTCTTAAAAAAAGGACCTAAAAACATCCTTCCAAAGAGACCAAAATCGACATGCATATGTGTGTATAAATTGTTACCATTCAATACAAATGCTATCCTGTAGAAGGATTAAAATACAGAGGTCAAAGAAAACCAAAACAAAACAAAAACTGTGCAACATTTTAAGCCATTAAAGCACCAAAACAAACACACAAACTAACAACTCCATCCAAAATCACTACTTTGAACAACATACACAAAAAACATTGATCAAACTCAAGATGTAAAACATCTGGACTAATACATTGTTCTCTGCTTGGCAGACTTTTTCTTCAACTTAAATGTCTCTTCTTATCCCTAAAAAGAAAAATCTTCAAGTGTTAACTATAAAGCAGGCACATTCTTCAAGCAATTTGCTGTTAAGGAAGCCAATCTCTATAGGACTGAACAAGGAACTAAAAATGAAGTCAAATAGGGAGATAGCTGCAGAGATAAAACTGACAAACTGCAGTTGGACAAAGTAATGAAACTGCTACCCTAGCTCCGTGGTCTTTTATTGTTTTACAGGCAGAAGCCAATACACCGAGGCATTTGCTGCTTTAGCACTCCCTTTGATATGCTAAAATTGACATAGCCAGCAACAGGCATACATAGAATTCCAAGGGAAAAAAGAAACACTTAGAAATCGACACTGGACGCTAGTTAAAGCAATCTTTTAAAAAGTGTCTACCACTATCAGTGAATCATTTTTAAAATGGTTATAAAATATAATCATTCTTGTAAGCTAAGCACTGAAACTTTGTCCAAAGTTTAGTTACTCCTGTCCTTTAGCTGCTTTTGCAAGGAAGTCTATATTCACCAAGTGGTGACTGACGTGTTTACTATAATCTTTTTCCTTTCTTAAAGAATAATCACAAAAGATACAAAATTTCCCCAGATCCTTTGGTGGCCAAAGCTTCCTTCATGTCATTTTTTTTTTCCCAGTGTGTAAAGTAAAATTTATTTGAGAGAGAGTGGTCTCCTGTCATAGTGACAGTAGGATTTATGTATTTATTGGAAAGGCTAGAAGATAGAAACATCTTCTGTCCACTGGTTCACTCCCCAAGTAACTGCAATGGCCAGAGCTGAGCCAATTCAAAGCCAGGAGCCAGGAGCTTCTTCCAGGTCTCCCATGTGGGTGCAGGGTCCCCAAGGCTTTGGGCCATCTCTGCTGCTTTCCCAGGTCACAGGCAGGCAGCTGCTGGAAGTGGAGCAGCTGGAATAAAAACCTACAACCATATTGGATGCCAAGCTTACAGGTAGAGAATCAGCCCGTTGAGCCACCATGCTTGCCCCGACAATTAGGGCTATTTTGATTTAACCCTTATGTATCATATACGGTAAGGATCAAGCTTCATTCTGAGAAATCTCAGAATCAGAATCCCATTGCCAGCTACAATATAATCTGCTTCTGTGACTCTTACTTTGTTTGGCTAAAGAAACTGAGCTTGCAAGCTAAAAGTCTAAGTAACCTTTAGCCTCAATTCTCATGAATCAAGGTCCAAGTCTGGTTATCTCACAGAAGGCTCCAAGTAATTAAGCAGGTAGTTACCTTAATTGCTGGACCGGAAAAGAGCCAGGCATGGGCTGTCCAGCCGAGATTGGTAGGGAATGTGTGGCACATCCCCCCTCACCTTGTAGGATATTATGGATTGAGTTGTTGCTGTCATTGCTGATCCAGGTACAACAATTTCTATTTCAGGATGTACTGAAAACTGTCTTTTCTCCATTGAATTATCTTGAAACTTTTACCAAAAGCTGATTGAAAAAGAAGTGTGGCGCCATAGCGGGATTCTCTTCTGCTAGAGCAATCTATGTATCTAACCTTAAACTACCATCGTGTTCTACTGATTAGTTCCTTGATAATAGGTTTTGAAATAAGTCTTCCGATTTTGTTCTACTTTCTTCAAAACTATCTATTCTTGGTCTTATATTTTTTTCTGAAAATATAGAAGTCAACGTGTCAATTAAAAATTGAGCCACAGGGCCCCGGAGCAGTGGCGCAAGTGGTTAAGGTCCTCACCTTGCATGCCCAGGATCCCATATGGGCGCTGGTTCTATCCCAGCAGCCCCGCTTCCCTTCCAGCTCCCTGCCTGTGGCCTGGGAAAGCAGTTGAGGACGGCCCAAAGCTTTGGGACCCTGCACCCACGCGGGAGGCCCGGAAGAGGCTCCTGGCTTCAGACCGGCATAGTATCGATCTTGGGGAGTGAATCATCGGATGGAAGATCTTCCTCTCTGTCTCTCCTCTCTGTATATCCGCCTTTCCAATAAAAACATAATAAAAATAAATCTTTAAAAAAAATTGAGCCACAAAAGGTTTCATTTGGATTACATTAAATTTAGAGATGATTTTCATTATAATGAATTTTCCGATTCATACATGATACAATCCCCA